GAGAGAGAGAGAGAGAGAGAGAGAGAGAGAGAGAGAGAGAGAGAGAGCAGAGAAGAAAAGCCTTGCAGGCGCAGAACAGCTGCAAGACAAAAGACTGAGAGGTGAGCATTAATGGCATGAACTCACCTGAGATAACAAGTATGCCACCAGGAGCTTTTTAAACATTTTGTTGGGAATTAGGAAGAAGCAAGGTTTTCAGTGCACGTCTAGCAAGTGTTTGTCTGCTGTCAGAGGACAACACGAGTGTGTTAGAGTGGGAGTAGATGTCTACCTCAGTAAGCAAGGCAGTCGGCGTGTCTGTGTGCAGGCACTTTGCTGTCTGTCACATAGTGTTATGGAGCTGCTGCGTGTGCCCACAGCGGAGAGAACGGAGGGGGAACTTCATTATTCCCACAGCAGCTTTTTGAGCGATGTGTGGATGTGTTGACAGAGCGGGAATCTCTTTATCTGCAGAAGTCTAAGAGTGAGAGGAGGAGAGGAGAGGAGAGAGAGAGAGCATGCCTGACAGTGCAGTCAGTGGTGAAGTGCTCATCTTCAAAGCCTAATCGCTCCTGGAAACAGAAGCCATTTCCCAAATCACATTCACGGACCCCTCCTCCTTTCCTCCCCTCTCGCGCTCTTTTTTTCCCCTTGCAGTGTTTGGGATGCCTCTCTCTATCTCTCATATCTGCCTTTGTTCAGTGTTCACCGTTTTACAGTGGCAGAATCTCCCATGAATGTCAAACCCGCAAATTGCGACCTACAAGGCGCACAAAAAGGACCGAATGGTAACAGAATAGCAGAGAGAGATGAGAGGACTCAGAGAGAGACAGACCTTTTTGAAACAGAAACAAAAAGTGTGTGTGTGTGTGTGTGTGTGTGTGTGTGTGTGTGTGTGTGTGTGTGTGTGAATTGGAAATGAAAAGAGGGGGAGAAGACAAGTAAGGGGAAAAGAAGAGGAGGCCCGCAGGGTTGTTCATTGTGTCTCGGTCCTGAGAAAAGTGTCTGACATCGTGTATGACATTTAACTGTGATGCGTCTGCCAGAGTGCTGGTGTGTGGGGAATGCGTCTGTCAGCTTTCGTTTCAGTGGAGACAGTCGCTTGTTCGTATATTGGTTGTAAGTGACAGATAACAGAGATCTGAAGTTTTTATGGGCTTCGATTCACTTGGGGGGGGGGCTTGGGAATACATTCCATCACAATGACACTTTTATTGTAACTGTTCCATCCATCACTTTTTAGCAAGTATGTCAACTATCCATTACTTTTAGATAAGTTCTCTTCCTGCTTGCTAATTGGTTTTCATAAACCCTCAATTGCAACATGTATTGTTCAGGTGTTAAAGCTGACTCAGTACGTGAAAATATTTGCTAATGAAATATTCTATTTTGTCCAATAAGTGGAGCCGCTCTACAGTCTTTACAAGTTACCATCTGGGGAATCACTGTACTAGACTATAATGTAGTCAATACTGTTAGTTGAGACTGAGGTTGTGTTTTCTTTAAACATTTTCCATGATTTTTCTTGCATTCAGCCACAATGACTCAATGATGCTGCTCAGTCTGTTATCCATCCGACAGGATCAGGCACACGAGCAACAAAGACATCTAGCTCACAGGAGTCACCTACGTGCTCGTGTGTTTGTGTAGTGAAGTGTGAGATTATGAGATTATTGGCTCGGAGAACAGGCCCGCTCGAGCCAAGAGAAGTTATGGGATGAACGGGAAGGGAAACCAGAGACGTGGAGGGGGAAAAGGAAATGAAACAAAATCACATCAAGCTGCAGAAAAAGGTCGAGGTAATATCAACAGGGAGGGGAGATTAAATTGACGGAGTGAAGAAAGATTAAAAAGCGAGAAAAGAGTTGGAAAAAGAAGCAGAGGCCGCCGGGCAAAGCGTCTGCAGTCGAGTCAGACTGTTTACATGCAGCTCATGTTGGGTGTGAGCACGTGCACGGACGTACACGCGCGCTCTTCCTGCCTCCCATGGGTCTCCAGTGTCCCTGCGCTCCAGGTGGGCTCTGCATTTTTAATCGATACTGTCTGTAGTGATTAACACCAGTCTTCACTCTGCAGCAGAAGGAAAGAAACAGACGGAAGGGGCGAGAGAGGGAGACAGAAAGAGAGATGGAAATCTGTCATACACGAGGCGGGGTGTATGAGTGAGCGTGTGTGTGTGTGTGTGTGTTTGTTTGGCAGTAATGACCCTCCGCCTCTGGGCTCCTACTGAGTATGTTTATCTCCCACGGCAGCACCGAGCAAAAATGGACGATGCATCACTGCCACACACACACACACACACACACACACACACACACACACACACACAGACACACACACACACACACCTTGTGCATTTTCTCTCTTTCCTCTCCTTCACTCTAATTGCCTCCCTCTTGCATTCTCCCTTTCATAAACACACTCACACACACACAGCTCCATTCCATATTACTTACTCAAGTCTCACATTATGTAAAGGCCCTTTCTTCCTATTTCCCTCCTCTCTCATTTTTCCCTCCCACTTGTGTTGCAATATGCCTATTAATGATGCAGTTAGAGCACCACTGCCAACTTCCTGCCTCTGACAGAGAGAGAGAGAGAGAGAGAGAGAGAGAGAGAGAGAGAGAGAGAGAGAGAGAGAGGAGTATAGTTATGGTGTGCATGCCCTGCTTTGTACCACTCCCTCTAATCTCTCCACCCCTCTGTCCGTGTTGTTTTCCTCAGAGTTAGCCCATGCGAGCAGCGTGTGGACTGAGTGCAGCTGTTTCGTTCAGAGCAGAGCCCAACATGTGAGAAGATGTCTGTTGGAGGTTGTGCTTGTCCCGGTGAGTGCCTATACTCTCTTTCTCTTTCTGCCTGTCTTGGTTCTCTTTCCTCCACCGTCTCTGTGCTCAGTGGTGCTGTCAGAAAGATGACTTATGTAAAAGTGCTGCAAAGCAGCCTAAGGGCCCAGCGGCAAGCTGTGTGAGTGCGTGTGTCGGTGAAGCCGTTCTACACTCTCAACACATGTCCTAAAACAAGGTTGTAGACTGAGGCTACCACACTTTGGGATTGAGTTGCTCAGCAGACCCTCTCAGTCACGCTAGCTTGCTGCGCAGCAGATCAATGGCTCTTTGAGTTTTGTCACATACAGACACACTGAGATATCAATAAGTGCTCCGCTTGCTTTTCACTCCTCTTCTCAGCTTTATCTGGCCACTATAGCTCTGCTCCTCCATTATTTGGGCTCTTATATGTCTCCAGGTGTTGGTGGAAATCCCTGCTTGCTGTTACAATAACTCTTATATTTGTCCCACGGGGCACAACTGAATGAGGCAAAGGTACTTTACTCACTGCAAAATGGTTTAAAGCTTGTCTCTCTTGATGAATTCAAACCATTAATGAGGGTACTTAAGTAGATTTAGTTAAGAGTTGAATTTGAGTTAAGCTGCTGTTGGGATATTAGGCAGCTCTTTGTCATTGTGACTTTGCATTCCTGCAAAATGCTGTTGTTATGCTTGGCTTGGCTTTTTTTAAATTAAACATTCTTGAGTTTTAAATAAAGGTAACATCAAATCTGGATTACTGCTAATGTCATGGTGTCTGCGTACAGTGTCAGAGCAATAGGAAGGAAATTTAGTACTTTCTGCACATGTCAGTCTTTGGCAAGCAAAATGTAGTGGCAATATTTTTATCAAGTAGATCTTATAATCCATTCTCTCCCATAAACCGTTTGACTTTGGAGCAACTTCTCTTCCACGGTACCCCGGTGAGAGCTGCAGAGACGTTGCCCTGTGCACAGTGCCAGGGGACGGGCTGTGTGCAGCACAAGGGAGAAAGTAACACATATAAATTGAATCGTAGCATCTGCTCAGGGGGATCTCAGAGAGGGCAGATTGAATTAGGGTGTCAGTATCATTTTAATGGGGCTGCTCTGATTCATTGGTAGTCGCCTATCAGATGGAATAATATTAGAGGGGCCTCTGCTTGATGTTCTCCTCTCAGATCTTTTCTCTACTAGCTCGCTTCCTTGCCCTCTCCTGCCGTTTTCCAGGATATCTGCTCCTTCGCTCCCTCTGTTGACAGACCTAACTCTGGAGCAGAAACTTTTAATGATATCCACATGTTTTTTCGAAGGATGTAAGGAGAAAGAGGCGGAACCAGAGAGATCTGCCATGTGCATGTTGCGCATCAACACTCACAGGTTTACACATGCAGGCGCGTGTGCACGTGTACAGCATGCACATACACACTCGCGCACATACGTACACCTTCACGAGGGGCCTGCTAGGATAAGTTTCGACTGGCTGATCTGGCAGATAACCACGAGGCAACATTGATCAACACTGGTTTGCAGTTTCTCTCTCTCTCTCTCTCTCTCTGGCTGCCGTTGTGCAGTAAATCATTATATTTGAAGACTGGTTTGTTTACATTCTTGTACGATGGTGGACGGAAGATCCTCCCCATTCTTTGTGTGTGTGAATTTGCATCGTGAAAAACTAATCCTCTCTCATTCTACAGTGCTGTCTCTTTTCATCTGGGCCCGTTCATCTTTGTTTTGTTCTTGGGTCAGAGCATTATAGAAGAGAGGAATCTGAACGGAGCGTATGTGCCATGTGGCAGACTGTGAGCCCATAATAAAGAACAGACTTCTCATGTCTGTCTAGCTCATTGACAACCCTGTGACACCCTGCTGTTGTTGTGACTTTGCTGTGAATCAGCCTTTTTAAGGCTTTGTTCCCCGCATGAAGGAGATCCGTCCTAACACAGGGGAGCCAATCACATCCTTTGTGCAGACTAAATGGTAAAAATAGATACCCCCCCTCCCTCCCCTCCATTCTCACATGCAATCAAGCATGCGCTCCCCTCTGCTCACTACTCTCACCATCTCTCACCCATCTCACTTTAACCCCTCCCTCCCGTTTCTGCCTTCCTCATCTCCCCCCCCCCCTTCCTCCCCCCCCTCTCACTCTCTGTCACTCCCTCGTCCCTACTTCACTACCTTTTGCAGTAACCGTGCTGTTACCTCATGCAGAAAGTCACATGGCTTCTGATTGGCGAAAAGTGACTTAAAGCAGAACCAAGATGGCAGCCAAACAGCCAGGGCTTTTTTGATTACCGTTACACAACAACACGGCTGCCTCAGCTTTATCTCACTGCGCTGAAAAGCTTGTGCCTCTCATTTTTTTCTCCTTCCTCAATTCTCCATTTCTTCTCTTCTCCTCGTCCCCTCCTCTCTCCACCCTAGTGAGTCTCTCAGATCTTGTTTGCTAGATCAAAATGGCTGTGTGTGCAGAGGCAGAGAGAAAGAAGGAATGCGTGGGAGACAGAGATGCTGGGGAGTCAGAGAGATGGGAGGAGAGTGGGAGGGACAAGCTTTTCAGCGCAGTGGACTATAGGGGGGGGGGGGGGGGGGGGGG